GGGGGGGGTTAACGGAGGATAGGACGCGGGGAGTCGACTGCGGGAAAGATGGTGAGTGAGTGAGCTCGAGTCATCGGACTGACGTAGTTGTGTATAGGTATAGATAGGTACCGGTACGTATCGTGTAGTGTAGTGGTATACCGGTAGAAATCTATCCATATCTGTATGTATATAGATATAGATAGATATACTATAGATCGGACCAGAGTCAGACTCCATACCCGAGTCGGCGGTCGCATGACCGAGCAGGAGCACCGACTCTGGTCGGCTCGAGGGGGTTTTGACGCATACGGCGATATACGTAGTACTGTACCACTACCGGTATACGTATGTTTGATGTGTGTTGTATATACATGGATATATAAATAAATGCCTACATGCATCCAACAACACATACCGAGTAGTACCGGTAGCTGGACAGACTCGCCGACGCACATCCATCCATACATGTCGTTGTACTACGTACGGTATTACTACGTCGTAAATCCATCCATCCATCCATAAAATCCCAGGTCCGCCGTCCCGCTTCTCCGTGCCGGACTCCGGTACGGAGCTCAGCAGGCCACTTACCGTAAGTAGCAAGCAGCAGCTGGCGAAAGCCTATCTCGATTCTCGATAGCTAACCTCGACCTACTACGTAGTACGTAGTAGTAGTAGTAGTACCTACTACTTCTACGTACCTAGTCTAGCGCGGCACCAAGAAAAAGGTTACCGACGGTAAGTATAGCGCTGTAAGTACTACAAGTTGTCTTACTTAGTAGTAAGTACATACTTACAAGTATATCACAGCTCACGTCACTCGGGCCTTGGCCCAACGCCGACAAGGTTTTCCGGAAGGCTGGCTGGCTGGCTGTGTGTGTGGCTTCTTCTCCACCCAATGACGTTTTTTTTTTTTTCTTTTTCTTTTTCTTTTCTTCGAGGGGCAGATCGGGTGGGTGGGGTTTGGGACAGAGGGCCCAAAAAAAAAGTAAGGGTGGAATAAAAATTATATAATAGTCAGTGCGCTGACTTTGTGACCTGCGGGCTCTCGGTCACAGTCAGGACAAGCAAGTGTCCCAGGTCAAGCAAGTGTCCCACTTCAAATTGCTATTCCATAGTAAATCGCATACAATTCCACCACACTTGCGACAGCCATTTTTCTCTTAACATTTCTCTAACTATGCCTCCGCAAACTTCAGAAGCTCTTGTAGCTCTCAATTATTACGGCCGCTATGCTACTAAAAAAGAATACGACCGCGCCTTTCAAGAAGCGCGCGATTAAGCCTTAAAAGATATGGAAACCGATGATGAAGGAGTAAAACGACCGAAAAGCGAATGTGCTGCCACGTCAGCACGTATATTCAGAGTCAAAGAACCTGCTTTACGAAAAGCTGTATACCGAGCTAAAAAGAAAAAGCGCAATCCTATCACAAGTCAATTCAATCGATAAAGAGGAAATAATCAGATTTTGTTGCAAGAGCAAGAAGAAGCGATCCGACAATATTGCTACGAGCAATGAGAGCTTGGTTTAAAAGCAACTCTTCTAATAGTACGCGCTAGAATCAATCACTTAAAAGCAGTAAGTGTTATTATTTTATTTTATTTATAATTATCAAATCGCTTTTAACGTCGTATAGAAACAACAGCCTTCTCTTTCTTTTGTATCACAATCTTGGTTCAAAGATTAGCTCCGCCGAAACCCCGATCTTCATACAATCAAAACCAAACCAATCGAGCGCGTTAGACTCGAATCGCATACCGAAAAGGAGATAAAGAAATAGTTCGAAGAATTGCAAAAGGATATGGTTCTCTACAATATCAACATTCCGAAAAAGCTTTTGAATATAGACGAGTCGAGAGCGCGTGTTAGATGTCCGCCGAGAGAGACTGTGATCGTTCCAAAAGAAATCAAAGAAATGTATACAAGCTCTTTAAACAATCGCAAATCGATTACAATCATTGAAACTATTCGAGCAAACGGCAAAAAGACTCTTTCGCCATATATCATTACACCGAGCAAGAAGATTATGAAGAATTAGATTACGGATGAGCTTATAAGTGACGAAACGATTGATTGCTCTCTTACAAGATATATCAATCACCAGATTATCTTAAACTACGCCGATCACCTTATCAAATGGACACACGCTAGGCCAAATAAACCATGGAAAATGCTGCTTTTAGATAGCTATGAGTCTCATCGATTAGATGAATTTGTATTAAAGCTTAAAGAAGCGCATATTCATTGCTTTTGGTTTCTTAGTCACTTTACACACGCGCTTCAACCTCTTGACGTTAGAGTATTTCGTCTTTAAAAGCATTATCACGCTCTTGCTATCCAAAATGCTATTCGAAGTTTAGACTTCGAATATACTATCACTTCGTTCTTCCGCGATCTTACGAACATCCGCTAACAAGCTATGCAACACTATACGATTGTAAACGCTTTCAAAACCTCGGGAATATGGCCTTGCAATATCAACGCTGGTCTTAAAAAGATTCGCTCTTATAATAAAGGAAAGAGATCAATACTCAACGAAGAAAACGATGAAGATAATCTCGAGCTTCCCGCGCTTCGTCTTTCTCGACTTGAAGATTTATAAACTACAACTGCAAAGATCAATTTATTACGCACTTAAGATCCGACACAGTTTTCCGATGATACGAAAAAACTCTTTAAAATTATAATGAAGCAAGCTTCTATCGAGCTTCAAAAAGCACATCTTACTTCGATAGAACATATCAATCTTCAGGAAAAGATTAGAGAAGATAAGAAACGCAAAAGAACATCGCGAAAGAGTATTTATAAAAGAAGTTCTTCTGCTGCAACTAGCGATTTGAAAGAACGAATTCAAATTCGTACGGAAGCAGAAAGGGTAGCGGCGTTACGAAAAGCTAAGAAAACACTTCAAGCAGCTATCAACAAGCACAATAAGCTCTTAAAAGAGCAAGGTATAGCTGCTCGAAGAGCTAACAGAGCTAAAAGAGACCGAGTTCAGCTTGCAATTGCAAGAAATAGCTTGCTTGCACCCGAAGATTTAATCCTAGATCGAGAGCTTGATAAAGCACCTACTACGATCGAAGACGCTCGCTCAACGCGCGAAGGTCACCCTGAACTATTCCATATAGTTCTTCAATTGGAAGCTAAATTAAAAAGAGAAACGAAGAGCCATATCGATTTTCCTGAGCCTGATCTTTTAATTAAGACTAATAATTCACGAGTAGAACAGCTAAATCACGACGAATTCCGCGAATCGAGTCCAATTAAAAGTATTCTACAAGAAAGTTCGGATGTAGAATCAAATGCTAGGTCAATTGATTCTATTCAAAAAAATGCCGACTTTTCTCATGTAATATAATTGTCAAAATTCGTTGCGTTGTGCATTTTTTTTGTATATAGAATGCTAGTATTTTCGATGTTCTGACCATTTGAAGTGGGACACTTGCTTGACCTGGGACACTTGCTTGTCCTGACTGTGACCGAGAGCCCGCAGGTCACAAAGTCAGCGCACTGACTATTACAAAAATTCCAGTAAATCCTTTTTTTTATTATATTTTTTCCCCCCCTTCCTCTCTCTCTCTCTCTCTCTCTTTCAAATCTTTACCTCGGCATCTGGACGGAGGCCCGGGTTTCCTTTTTCTTTCTTTCTTTCTCACCATCATCATCATCATCATCATCGTCACCACCACCATCATCATCATCATGCGGAGGTAGGTATATGAGATGCGATTCTGAAAAATGTACGGAGAACCGTTTCAGGTGGGTGAGCTGGGAGGAGGAGATGGAGAAGCGGAGAGAAAAAAAGAAAAAAAAAAAACGGAGTGGGGAACAGACCCAAAAAAAAATAAGAAGACGAAAGGAGAAGGATCGGGTCGTAATAACCCCACGTGACTTGGTATGTGGACACGGATAACCGGTATACCGTAGCTCTCCACTCAAGGACAGGTACCGTACCCATATATTCCCGTACGCATACGAGAGCCGATACGGAACACCTCTCTCTCGACTTACCTGCATTCCGCATACTCAAGCAAACCCATGGCATGCCATTCCATTCTCATTCCATAGCATTCCTCAATACAAATGCTTTTGTCTATCAATAAATATACATGGACCCCTTTGGTAGCGGTACCCCGCACCGAGAGGCATCTGTGGACGAATCATCAATTGCGGATCAGTCCCTCCCGATAATGTACCGCGACAAGCCGAGTCGAGGACGACGAGCACAAGAGGCAGCGAAGCAGACAGAGCCGGTGTAACCACAACTCTTTCCTTTCTAGGGACAGGATAGGATACCGTTCTTCAAGTTGAAAAAAAATATATATATATCTACAAATTTACGAGTACGCCGGCCATGCAACGCTAAACAACAAGATAAAGAATGTAACAGTCGTGCTCCCTCGGTAAGAAAGCCACGTTTTCTATGCAGGGCTCATGCCGCACAACATGAATGCAAGCCGTTGAGACAAACATTCACGTCTTCTTCTCGACCGCTTCTCTCGACTCTCCACTCTCCAGCTCCGACTCGAGATTAGGCTTCGCCTTGGCCCCAGATGCACCATCGCGCTCCTCGCCTTCTTGGTCCTGGGTGTTCGCCACGCCCCGGAACTGCGCCAGCGCCTTCGCGGCCTCGGCTGCGTACTTGCACTTCAGCCGGATGGACTCCCCGTACTTGTAGAACAAGAACGGGAACGGCACGCACGCAAGCGCGAGGAAGGCCGGGATCGAGGATGCCCAGTGGATGCCCAATCTCTGATACATGTCTAGCGGGTGATGTCAGCTCGGCCGAGACACGGGGGATGAGGAAAGGGGATAAGCGAGGGTGTCTCACAGCTAGTAAACAACGGAAAGGCGGCACCGAAGAGCGAACGCAGCACGCTGTTTGCCGCGAGCACAGATGCTGCGTAGATTACGTAGGCATCGATGAGGTAGTTCATAATGCTCAAGAAAACCAGCACCATGCCGAAGCCAAATGGCGCGGTACCAATGATCGAAACGCTCCAGTGGATACTGGGCGAGTTGGTCCACGCGAACCAAAACAGTCCGATGGGGAGGGCAACGCTTCCGACCAGGGCGGGGGGGAGTCTAGCCTCAGGAGGCGCGTTTCCGTCGTGTTTTGCTGCGACGTGGGCGTATCGTTTGTTGTCAAACATCGAGTAGCCAACCGCAATCATCATGCCAACCGCAACACCGATGAATGCCAGTCCCCCGATTCCTGCGCTCCATCCACGGCCATCTTGATAGACGATCGGCATAGCCCCGAACATCATATATAACGTCCCGTATATGATTGCCATGTAAATACTGAGCAGACTGACGATGGGCTCTCTGAACAGCAGGATCCAGGGTCGCGAAAGTGCCGTTTTAAATTCTTGCCCGATAGTTTTTTCGCCGTGCTCCATTTCTATCTTAGACTTGTATACATTCCCCGTCATTTTCGACAACTTTTTCGCACGTCGGCGCAAGATGACAGGTGTATACGTTTCGGGGATGGTGAGGGTGCCAATAATCCATAGGGCACCTGTGAAAATGGCCATCAACCCCTCGACCCATCTCCAACCTTCCGTCTCCCCTAAGAAGCCTCCGACGATAGGCCCGATTACTGGTCCAAGGAATGGAGCAGCTGCAAAGATACTCATTGCGACTCCACGTTGAGAGGCGGGAAACATATCTGCGATGACGCCGCCTGCGTTCGTCAACGGCGATGATCCAAAAGCTCCGGCCAAAAACCGCAATATGATGAGTGTCTGTATATTTTGCGAGCCAGCTGCACCGGCATTGAACGCCGTCAGCATAGCGTATGTGCTGAAGAACAAGACCTGTCGGCCGTATAACTCGGAGAGGGGAGCCCATAGCAAAGGTCCAATGGCAAAACCCAAGACGAAGAGCGAGATTCCAAGGGTTGCCACTTCGCTACTGATATGGAATGTCCGAATGATTTCTTCGATGCCGCCGCTGTATGCTGAAGATACGAATGCTACTGCTAGAGTTGCCTTTTGTGGAGAGGAACGTCAGTTTAAGGTTCCCGAGGATTGAGTTTATACCCCAGAAATCGTCTCTCGAGAGGTATCCACAGCACTTTTCTCCGTCTACTTCAAATGCGGAGGTCGTCACACTCACAAAGGCGACGAGCATTGTGATCATCCATTTCTTCCACTGCGGAAAGAGCATGGGATTCCGTCGATCATTTTCAATGTATTCAACGATATAGGGATCCTGCTCGGTCCCCGAGCCTTTGTACGGCCAGTGCAAGACTTCAGGCGTAACATGAGTTTGATCATAGACCAATTCCCAATGCGACGACTGTTTCTGTGTATTTCTATGCTGAGCCTCAGCGTCGTATTCCGAGGCTTCATTAGCCGATTGCGATGACGACAACGAAGTCACCTGCGCCATTGTTGCCTGAAACAATTGCCCCTTATTCAGAACAGAGAACGGAGAACAGAAGGAGAAATGATGAAGAGAGAGAAAGTAAGAGGACTATTGCGAGACTCAAGATGAAGGAAGAGAGAGCAGTTTGAAGATGGAAAGTGTTAATCAATTCCGACCTTGGTGGCGCAGATGTTCACAACTTTTCGGGGTAATTGCGACCCGGAGATAGATCCCGATCCGTTCCATCCGTCCCCATCTCCACGAACGTAGAGCCACTTCGCATAAAACGAAAGATCCGCAACATAAGTCGGGAATGGGGATGGGGATGCCGATCATAGGTTCTAGAGTGGCTTCCGGGATCTCGAGAGGACCCTCCGCGCTTTGAAGCCTCAAAGCCTAGAAGCTTGCGTGCCGTCATCCCGACCTGGCCCCACACGATCAAGTTCTCCGAGTCAATATTCTCAGCGCTTGCTAGGCACATCCAATAAGATAGGGTATCGAGAGTCAGTTTCGTGAAAGTGTAGGACAAACAAAGACGAGGATTGGAAACCACCGACGTATCAAAGGAAAGCAATCGGCCCGCCGTTGACAAGTTTATCCATCAAATGCGCCCAGCTGTCATGGCAACGGGAACGAGTCCGAGAAACCGGTTCACGGTAAAGTCCGAGCAAAAATCGATGCCACCAAATGTAGTTCAAACAAAAATTTGCAATATTCGATTACAAAAATTCGATTGGGTATCTCATACTGACCTGATTATTTCTTCTTCTGCTTCTTGTTTGGTTTGATAAGCTGGGTTCGGTTGAGCATAGCACTGTGCGAATGCTTGTTGACTACAGCTTTAGGCGGCTTTGCGTTGGTTTCCTTCGGAGGAGCTGAGATCGTACTGTTGTCCTTCACAGGAGCTTCAGCCTTCGAGCTTCTTTCCTTCTCGGCTGATTTCTTTCTGGCTTTTGCAGGAGCTTCGGCTTTGGCAACCTTCAAGCTTTTGTCCTTTCCAGACACTAGAGGTCTTACGGCTTCCACAGTCTGAGGGATGACCTCTTCCTTCTGTTCTTCTTCAAAACCACCCAAACCATCAGCTTCTGTGGCCGAATCTTCATGCGCCTCCTCAGGGGTCTCTCCAGGCTCTTCCACATCTGATCGGGCAGGGAAGCCCATGATATCCCGCACAAGATGGCCTCGTTCGTCTCGAAGGAAATGTTTATCCATCTCTTTCGTCCGACCCCCGTCTCTAACAAAGCCAGCCAGGAAAAAACCCATAGTTCCGTGCTCATCTTCCTTATTCGCTCTTATGCAGCTCTTTGCGATCTCTTCATCCCCACCGGCAGCCTCCAGGTCACCTCGAACGGGCCAGTCCTTTAGGCCTCTGATCTGCTCTTCACGCTTCAGAATTCGCCATCCCGCCTCTCGCACGCTCGGTTGCTCCAGAGCTTTTTGAACAACAGTCTCATTCTCCTCAGCATGAACTGAACATGTTGAATATGTGATCTTTTGGGCACTCGGGAACTTGAATGCATGAAGAAGCAGCTCAAGTTGGAACTTAGATAATGCTTCTAATCGATTTTTTAGCTCATCCTCTGAGCTAATTGCTGTCACCTCGCCATCATCATCCACCATCACATCCATAGCCGGGTCATGCTCTTCACGTTTGCGCTTGCGTGACTCAGGGGTAGGCTCAGATGCTTTAAGCTTTGCATTCTTTTTCGGAGGTCTTGCTCCATGTTTGGGAGCCGCTGCCTTCAAGACGGGTAGGTGTAATTCTGGCATATCATCCCTTCCTATAATACCACTTCCGGAACAACTTGGATCTAGTAGAAGAGCTCCAACCTTCTGCATTTGGGGGGATTTCGGGTCTGATTTTAAAAAGTCGTGACCGGGACGAATTTTGGTCAAAGTGTCTGAGCCGGCTAGATTTACCATTTTTTCCAGCGTCTCGGCTCTCCCCTTGTTCTTCTCGAAAGCGTAGATTGTTTGAGAGCAGTGTTTGGGCTCCGAGCTGTGCTCAAGGAGAATTGATGCAAGATGAGTGGTCTTATTTCCTGGCGCAGAGCATGCATCCACAATGTCTCCATCCTGAGGAAGCGGGTCAAGCATGTAGGCTGGGAAGCATGAGGCCTTGTCCTGGAAAATAATATGACCTGACTTGTAAGCAAGACTCTTTGTAAGATCAAAACTTGCTGAAATAGCAACCAAATTCGGAATATGGTGATCAATGAACAGTCGCTTCGTTCCTCGTTTTCTTACAGCTGCAATGCTGGTCGCCCGCTCCAACCCAGCAAAAGTCGACTCCAATTGATCCTCTAGTGTAGTCTTCAAGGTGTTGATCCGGACCCAGCGAGGATATGGCGCATCCGATGTATCAGCTTCATTCTCTAGTCCTTCCTCGATAAAAGCCTTGAAAGCCTCCAAGGAGCTGATCTTTCGACGGATTCTCGCCTTCACCAGCTCGGCATGAAGTCTTCCCTTATGCTTCTCAACTGTAGTTCTCAGACCATGGGTCGCGGGAAGAGCAATGCCCTTTTTCGCCAGCAGAAGATCGTGAACCAGGAGGATCGATAGAATTGGAGTCAGCTGGCACAGATAAACGTCAATACGCATGCTGTAACTCAGGGCTGGTGTAAGCTTACCTTGCGCTCAAGACGCAGAATTTCTGCATTCTCCACAATCTCTTTCAGGACGGAGCTCCATTTGCAGGTTTCAATCGCCAATGCGTATATTTGTGCCGGCTGCGATTTCAAGTCCTTCTTGCCGAATATCCTTGACTTTAAGCTACCACCTGCGTTAGTCGGCGCTGTCAGAAGGTCAGCGGCCTCGTAGTAGAGAGACATAGCATCGAAGCTTCAAATTGGATCGCGAGTTTAGGGTACGTAGGCGGCTGCTTGAACGTTGAAAGTTACTCAACGGGCGCAGGAGGCTGTTCTCAAATTGTTGGATAGGGCCTGGGCTGGCGTCGAAAAATATTTCGGGAAATTTTTGTGGAAGGCTTACAGTAGCGAGTCAGTCTTTACTTTAGGCGGGGTAAGGTACCCCTCCAACGTGCCAAACATTCATGGGAAGGAAGTAAGTAAACAACTGAAAATTACCACCCATCTACCGGCACATCTTTGACATTTCTTTTCTCTCATCCCAATTGGCAATTGATTGATATGAGAGCCAGACTGGTTGAGTCCTTGCCGGATATAGCAGCTACCAAGCGATCGTCTGAAGTATCACATTCACATTTGTGATTCATGGATAGTGGTGATCTCCGTCGACACTGAATTCAAGTGAATCGAGTCCAATCGCGATGTCCTTGTAGTTCACTGTACAAAGACGGGCGTGTAAGGTACTTATTTATGCATGTCGACGGATAGGTAAGGACCATCTCATTCCGCATACGATATCCAACAACGCGAGCTATATATTGTTTGGTTTTCTTGGTCTACCTACCTAAACCTGTTCTTCAAAGGCTTGATCAGCATGTCTACCATCACCCTCACAACAGATTCCTTTGAGGACACTCTACAAGGCTCCTGCAACTGCGGCAATATTGTAGTATCTCTCCCAATTTCATCGTTGCCAAGCAGTGTCACTCTCTGCCACTGCTCCGAGTGTCGGGCATCGTCCGGCTCGCTGTAAGTACTCATCCATCTCTCCAAATCTCTCCCCATATCTCACAAAATGCTGATATCCCCAGATTCGCAGTCAACATTTCCACTCCAACCCAAGACATCAAGATCGAAGGAACGCCCAAGATCCATGATTATATCGCCGCTTCGGGGAACACGGTGCATCGTTACTTTTGCGGTGATTGCGGATCGTATGATCTCGGACCCTCGCCGTACTTTGCGTAGGCTAATGTGATGGATGCAGTGCCATCATGAATGTGGTCTCCGCACACCCGGAAAAGAGTATCTTGAAGGGCGGACTATTTGTGAATTCGGGGGTCAACCTGCCGTTGCCTGGCAGAGAGCAGTTCTGGAGGAGAGCAGAACCTTGGGAGACGCCTTACCCTGGGCTTTTACCCATCGAATGAATAGATTCGGTGGGAAGGTTGGGTAGCTGCGAAGCAATCTTGAGATATTGAAGGGAAGGGACTCATATCCTAATACTCTGAATCTCGGCCAAGAATTGGCTGCGAAGATTCAATAAGATTGCTTGATTTCGCTAGGTCATCTTGTCGAGTCCGAAGCTGAATGTCCTAGTGTCGAATCGAGATTGACTGCGACATGCAACAGAACTCGAGAAGGCTCGTTCACCATGGAACGCTCGGGAAAGAATCGCCATTTTCTGCGATGTGGAACAAAATGGATGAACCCTAGCACCGTCTTTCCATGGACTCCACTCTCAGTATGTGGAGCGGAAATCTTCGACAAGGCGACCCAAGTACCTATGTATCGTCATCATCTTCTGGTATTTTGATCTTCTCAAGTCTGATTCATGCTCTCGTCAGAAGTCCAAGCCCGAGAACCAAGCATTCCTAGAACCCTCCTCCTCCACCTGAGTGGCATCAAACTCTGGCATCATTCTTCGAGTTTGGCAAAAACTGTGGTGATGATGAAAAGATGGCGAAGCCATAACCCACCGGCCATTGTTCCACATACCTAAGCTACCGAGTCATGAGGTAGACAGTTTCCGCATTGCTCTGCAATGCTGGCGCGATTTGTTCTCGGACTCATTGCAAGCTATCTGTTAAGTCGCCGCCACAAGTTGACGTGCAGTAAGACTGCAGATTCTCGGTGAGGAAACCTATTACACTTCATATATAATTTCCAGATGCGAGCTCACCCATAAGGCTACACTGTCCGAGCAAACCCGGAACGTCGTGGGAGACACGTTCTGGGAGGTGTAAAAGTTGACTTGATAGCTATCTGCAGATCAACCCATAAGCTGTCTGATATCCTCAGGAGGCCACCTAACCTGTGCAAAACTCAAACATCTCTTGATACTTTGCAAGAATTTCCTCGTAACCTCATCTCCCATAACATGTCCCTTGTCGCTCTCATGCAGCTTCTCTCGGGCACTACGCTCGTGGATACCAACCATAGTGACTCCAATGGGCCAGGCAGCTTTCCCAATACTCAGGCGTAGGTAACCATCATTGGCATCCACGTAACGCCGTTCTTGAGCCGCTTTCACGATTTCGACGATCGGCTCTAGGACACCCTCGTCGACGTCGCCCTTCTCGAATTTGCGAAATAGCTGTTATACCTTAGCATGAGGATTGAGAAAACGCGGGCTGGATACATACTGGTGTCATGTTCTCCTTGCTCTGTACCATAGCGTTGTACGCCGCCTTACTCGCGAACGTATCCCTCTTCTCCGCCTCCAGAGCACTCTCCCACTCCTTCAATACCATAGTAAAATACGAAGCCAACTGCCTGAACAGGAACTTCCTCTCAGCCTCCCCCTTCGGCACCACATCGACCTTCATATCTTTCTCCTCCACCAGCTCCAAAGACGTCGGAATCGGCCCCGTCGTCATCACAACCCCTAGCTTCCTGAACCGGCGTAATCTTCCCTTGTGCGTCTCCCCAAACACCGTAGCAGGCTGGCCCATCTCCCGCAGCTTCTCAATCAGCTCCTCGTCCTTGATATCATCCACCTCAACCTCCTCGACCGTCTCCTTCACCAGTTCCGGCAAACCCAGTCGCTTCCTCCTCGCCCTCTCCTCTTCAGCCTCCTGCTCCTCCCTCCGCCGCCTCGACTCCTCAGCCAGCTTCCTCCGCTTCTCCTCCCGGGTGCGGTTCGCCTCAGCTTCATCCTCCTCCCGCTTCCGCTTCTGGCGCAGCTTGGCCTCCTTCTCGGCTTCGAGCGCCCGTTGTTCGGCCAGGTACTTCTCGCGCCGCTCTGCTTCCACCTCGGCGCGCTTCATGAATTTCTGGGATTTCTCGGCTTCGGCGCCTTTCGTAGCCTTGGCCTTACCAATTTCCTTGTTCATGAGAGCCGCGAAATCCATGATGGCGATGTTGTCCGAGGTTGTGTGCGGTTTTGGGTGGTTATGATCCCAGAGCCTCGTAGCTATTGGCGGGGGTAAAAATCAAGACACTGTTTCAGTGCAGGAAGCGGTTTGGCTCTGTAATTGGTGACGAGAAGCGATTCCCCGGATTTGTAGAATGCGCAGCGTCTACTGTTTTCTTGTCGCGAATTCCGCTTTGGGTTGGGATGTGAGGTGGTCGATAAGCAAGCAGACACAAAAATGCCCCGTGCCGAGAGCAGCCTACATTCTCAGTCCCGACTAGAAGAATTCTCGAGTCACCAATTTTGCGCCGGAACATCTCACACAACAACAACACCCAGAAATGCCCTCATAAGCTCAAAATACTCGTGTCCACACGCATAAGCTTGCCATGGCTTCTCCTCCTCCATCAAAACTCGATCGCGAGACGAATACGCCCTTCCTCCTCAGGCTCTTCTACAGGAACGGTGCATTTCACAAGTGAGCAGCTAGCTTCAAGTTCAGCCTCGTCCCAATCTATTTCCGTGGCTAATAAATACCCAATGCGACAACCCAGTCCTTCTGATTTCTCGCCCACATCCGAGCTCCCTCCACATGTACAGATCTACACCTGGCCATCGTGTACCCTTCGCGAACTATCTCACTTGCTCACCTCCGCGCTCCCTTCTCTCCTCCCCGAACCGGCAATCGGCACGCGACTCTCCTACCGTCTCCTCTACCCCGATACGCGCAGCACAGGCTCGGGCTCTGCGCCAGGACCCCCAAAATACGTAACCAAGGAGCTTGGGAGTGTGATTATAGGCGAAGGCGGACCGGGGATCCTGCCAGATGAGGAGGAGACTGGTATTGCGAGAGGGGGGCAGATGACAGGGCCGCTGGGAGGAGAGCCGGAGAAGACGCTGCAGGATGCGAGGTTTGTGATTGGGGATTATGTGTGCTGTGCTATTGTGCCGCCGATGGACAATGGCCGTGTTGGGCCTCCACCGACTGGGCCTTCGAGGAGTGATTTTGGGGGTAGGGGTGACTTTGGAGGGAGAGGGATGGGGCCTCGGGAGAATGGATTTGGTGGTGGTGGTGGATACAGGGGGAGAGGGGGTCTTCGAGGAGGAGGAGGGAATTTTGGACAAGTCTACGTGCCTTCTGGGGAGTGGCGGAGAGGAGAGCCAGTACCGGAAGGTCCAGCAGGTGGAAGGAGTCGAGGCGGGGGCTTTGGCGGGGGATTTGGAGGAGGCTTTGGTGGAGGCAAAGGGGGAAGGTATTGAAAAGTGACAAATGCTTTCACCCGCGACAACGGTTTGCGGGGGGGGTTTTTTCTATAATAACATCTGTGTCGGTATTTGAGAAATTCTGGGGCGTAGGGGAGTTGAGTTCGTGGTATAATTTCATAAAAGCAATACATTAATTGCATAGGTACCCAGCTTAGGGTCCCAGGTCAAGGCTGGACGGAATCGCATTGCCCTAGACGACTGCGAAGTTTCCCAGGACTCATAGCTCGTTCGACACAGTTGCTGGTATTCGTTTCCCGCGAGTCATATGTACATCTCCCTGCTTCCCAAGCCCTGCCAGTCTTCTAGAACTCCACGATGGTATCTCCTCTTCTCTTACCCCTCATATCCCACTTGCCCTAAAGACTGTCAGCATCGCATGTTCGCAAAAAAAAACAAGCTCCACTCACATCGGTAGTGAACGCCAGGTATCCGATGAACGCTGGGAACGCAGCCACATATGCGAAGGTGATTCCAGCAGTCCTCCCAGTCCATCTGAAGTACTTGTATCTGTTGATCCACATATCTATCTCCCATTAGCACCCCTGCCGTTGTCTAGCCAGGGCTCCAAGTAAAGGTGTTTGGAGTCGCGAGGGTATCAAGAGGGAGAAAGCGTACTGTTGTACTTGACCAACGCCGGGTCGAGCGCGATTGCTATCAGACATCTGTTAGCATCGCACCATCAATCGGATTGTTCCGCAGCTTACGGTGGTTGTGGTGACCCGCCATCCTGAGAGTAGTTGGCCGCATCGTTGTTTGAATTGCTGGTCAAGCTGCTTGCTTCAAGCTGAAATGAGGTTGGATGTCTCTGCCAAGGGAGGTACAGCCGTTCCGCGCCAAGTGGATTTCAAAAGCCTGAAAACGGAAGTGGGGCATCTGACGACAAGCAAGACTGCCTCGGTGTATCATGCATGTTTGGAGTGATCCCTCTGAGGGATTGGTTCTTTAGGTAGATTGAGCTCCCTGGGCTTTATCTACCTTTTGTCGTCTGTATATACAACTATATTCAACCTGTTCTCCCCCCCCCTCCCACTTTCGAACAAGTTTGTACATCCATAACTAATCTCGACGGTATATACAGGATGGCATCAACCACCGCCCCGGCTACTGCCACAGAGCAACCAAAGGTTATCCTTTACTGGTAAGCTTCAAATGGATTGATTTCTCATTTGATTATGAACTAATGTTCATACTTATAGGCTTGAACAATCCCGGTCTCAGCGCATCCTATGGCTCCTTGAAGAACTTAAGGTCGACTACGAGCTGAAGATTTACCACCGCGACCCCAAGACGCACCTCGCTCCTCCCGAGCTCAAGGAGATTCACGCTTTGGGTAAATCGCCTGTCATCTCAGTCCTCGCCCCTGGCGCAACCAAGCCAATCGTCATAGCCGAGAGTGGGTTTATCATCGAGTATCTCCTCGACCACTTCGGCAATGGAAGCACTCTGCTCCCGAAGCGATATCAAGAGGGCAAGGAGGGAAAGGTCGGAGGGGAGACCGAGGAGTGGATGCGATTCCGCTATTTCATGCACTACGCCGAAGGAAGTCTGATGCCGCTCATGGTTATGTCTCTCGTTGTTGGTCGTGCGTGATATTCCTTCCCACTCCCCATCTCCCAGGTATCTAGTCTCGCTAAACACTTACTGACTGACCTCGTGCGACAGAGATCAAGGGTGCCCCCGTACCCTTCTTCATCAAGCCCATCACTGGTCGGATCGCTGGTACAGTCAACTCGAGCTTCCTCGACCCGAACTTCCAGTCAACCTACGAGTTTCTCGAAGGCCAAATCGCGTCCTCGCCAGACGGGGGCAAGTACCTGTGCGGACCTCGGCTCACTGGCGCCGACATCCTCATCAGCTTCCCACTGATCGCAGGCCGGAGCAGAACAGGGTTGACCAAGGAGAAATTCCCAAAGCTGAGCGAATACGTGGACAGAATGGAGGCAGAGCCGGGCTATAAGAAGTCAGTGGAGAAAATCATTGAGATCGACGGGTCGTTCTCGGCAACCCTGTAATGTTTATGAGTAATGTACGGTGGGCGTGGTAGTTTATACGGAGCGTTGGCTCGGTGATTTATGAACTGATTGGTCATCATACTAAATTGAGAATTATTCTACCGGAAGAACTTACTAGTATTCCAACCAGACGGCAATGATTCAGTGGTTGGCGGCAAGGGTCGCAAGCGTCAAATGGGCATTCGCGTTTGTATTCTTATGTAGGCTGGTGACAGCTTCATGTTCCTTTGCGTCGTTCGCTTAACCATACCAGAGACCAGATCCGTAGCTTCCTCATGACTCTTGAAACTCGCAGTGTCCTTAACAAGACTCTCCAGCCGAATGCATTATTGACTCCCCTGGGAAAACACGAAAGATAGGCATAAATTTGCATTCGCCACCTAGTCCCAAAACGCCAATATCCTTTCGCATCTCACCGGAAAGTTGAATCGTAACACGATCATTCCATATCAACATCTCTCATGGGAGGCTTCAGAAAATCGGCGGCTTCCTGTTCTGTGACATTCGAACCAGGAGCGGTGTCCAGCCCTACCTTATCCGAATCAGGCGGTGGCACCTGGATCAGTCCAAGCCTCTTCTTCGTCACCAGCTGCCAGAAACCCGTTCTGTCGCCACCCAGCTCCCCGTTGAATACTTTCTCCTTCAGATCCCGCAGGAAATCATTGTAGACGCGTGGAAGCTCGTATTCGATAGCAGTTTTTCGAAGGACAGTCATAGCTCCGACTGCCCGGTCGAAGGAGGAAGTATCGAGGGGTGAGGTTTCGATGCGATCTCTGATGTGTTGACACAACTGCTTTGACGCATCAACAAATAAATCTTCGTCATCTGGATCGGAGCCGATCATCTGCTTGAAACTGGGAATCTCATTATCGGCCGAGACCTCTGTTCCGCGCCCGCTTTCGCTAAGCAAGGCATCTACATCCAGATTCGACATGGGCTTGACAACCTCTCGTCCACCTCGCTTGCCTTTGGTTTTCGGTGGCACTGGAAGTTTTAGAGACAGCCAAATAAGCTGTGATTGAGAGCTTACCTTTGCTAACTTTTACCGCCTTCTTGAGCGCCTCAAGTTGGGGACTTGCTTTGGTAACCAGATCTGACGGTGGGTGGCTCCTGGGGGCATTTGCTTAGCTTGGCACCCATGTTGGATGATTCATCCAGATGACATACCACTTGAGTAGGATTTCTGCAGGCTTGGGAACCGGCTTGTCTGGTTGCATGGCTCGATAACTGATCGCATGCTGGAGGCGATGAACCATTGGAGCATACATTTCCTCGATCGGCATGTACTCTTTGGGCTTGCCTTCCTCGTCTCGTCCGAACGAGGAGAGATCCATACCTGAACTTGTCAGTTGACGAACCATTGACTTTGCCCTTACGCGTGCGAGACAAGAGAGACACAGAACCTGACAGCCAGTAAACACTTACTATCAACATAATCACTCATTGCCTGGACTTCATTGTCCGCTGGTAGGTATCGATGCTTCATAATGACATTGCCAGATATGCCCATGACCTTATCCAGGGGTGGGAATTTATAATTACGAACGTCTTCCGCGAATGGAAGTGGCACATCAACAAGACATTCGATATCCAGGTCGATCAATGGCGCCATGAGAAGAATAACCGGGCCAGCTCCGTCTTTCTTGACCAGTCTAGCTACAGCATACGACTCCGTTTCATCGAGCGCATGGACAAGAGACGACATGGCCATCCTCGCCTTGTCGTTAGTTGGTTCAGCGATGGTTACACACGCCTCGCCCATGTTCAGGAATCTTTCGTACTGAGATGGCATTAGCTGGGTCGCATGAGATTTGTCTCTTCTAAATACCTTGTCGTTCGGGATGAAGCCTATAATCGAGAAACTTTCTTTACTTTTGAATCTGGTCTCGGCCTCAGCGTCTTCGCCAAACGGTACTGCGGTGCTGCCATAGTAGTATCCTTTGGCGAGTTCTGTGCGATCAACTATAGCCTTTCCTTGCGAAGCACTCTCATCGAAAACGTGATAATCCCTTCGATTCTTGACTGCGGCCAAAGGGGCATCCGTCATTTCGGTATCTCCGTCTCCGTTAATCGCAGCGGCCCGAGAAACAACAAAGTTACTTGCCGAAGGGGCAGTTGCTCTCTTAGTCTTGCTATATCGCTCCACATCAATGAAAAGCGCACTTTCGGGGTATTTGACGTAATCTCCAAGACCTTAGGAGACATGTTAGCGGCTCTTTGGCGATATAGCAGTGCATTGAATGACTGTTCTTACCAAGTCTACCACCATATGCTTTGAATGGCCGAACGACTTTGATCGCGGGGATTGTTAGAGAGTCAACTGCCTCGGCCATTGTTCCAAAGTCTCCATCTCTGCAGCTTTCCGTAAGCTTCCTCAGAAGTTTCTCGTTGTCTCGCTTAACCGAGGATTTGTCCTCTTCCTTGAATCCATACTCCGCATCATCGAAATCGACCCCAAGCACAACAAGGCGGATGTTGAGTTCGTCAAGTTGTTGTGCAATGGGCTATAGTTTGTCAGGCACTGCCCTTTCGAAGGTGTGACGTACCACATTGGGTTAGGTACATGGATAGGATAGGATAACAGGTTTGTAGTAAGAAATCTTGCAGTCTTACCTCGATATTGTCATCTTCAATACGACCCTGCCCATCTGTGACAAGAACAATTTTCCGTACGAACTTCGCTTGCCCACCGCTCTTCAACCTAGTGCCTTCGTCTATCAACTGCGCGGCAACAACAATAGCTGAGATAGCATCTCCAGCATCCGTACCACTGCTGACTAGCTTCGGCCGGAGCTCCTCGTAGCTTGGCATGTCCATCTCTCCAAGCTGCTTGAGCACAGTTATGTTGTCGTACCCATCGTCGTTGCTCAACGGATTTTCCGTCTCATCTGTTCGGAATCCCACCACGCCAACTGACAAGGTCTTGCGGTTCTTAGCCATAATCTCGCCAAGCGCGCCTCGAACATATTCCAATGAGTATTCGAGGTCGCTTATTTCTCTGCCACCTGAATATCGTAAGCTTGATTCAAATAAAAATAGCTCGTGTTGTTGTGCCCGAACTGTTGGAAAGGGTCCAATGCTCAAGGAACTCGCATGCTGACACTTACCCTGGCATTCTGCTGTAGTCGAGCCCAAGTCTACTACGTATATTGTGGCCTCTTTGCTCATGGTTGCGGCGTCGCGGCGTCGCGTGGAGGGGGTCGAGATAGAGATGGTCGCGTTATAGAAGATCAGGCAGACGTTTTGACGCGATTTCCGTCACCAGATCATGTGACCATAATGTCTTAGCAGACATTCGTTCCAGTCTACGAAGTATCAATTGTTAGGCATCCATCTATAACTTCACAAGTATCATACTACAAGCACGCAACATACTACAAGCAAAAAACATACCTCCTCAGTTTCTGAAAGACCTGGCAATCTCTCGACTATTTACAGACAACCCAATTGTTTGTTGATTCTCCTTTTGCTTTCATTCAGATTCAGAAGTAACGTGCGATAAGGTACTGTACCTCGGCACTTGTAGGCGTCATCAGTTTCATACTGTAAACCCGAACTCTCAGTCCTTGCTGTCTCTCTATCTTGTGGACCGTTGTCACTTTCAACACTCATCTTCCAAAGTATAGAATTTTCTGTCTATTACTCGCTCGCCATGCCCGAAGTTTCGATATTCAAGACGGTTGCTCCGTACCATATCATCTCGTAAGTCCTCTTGAAGGCCCAGCTTAATGAGAGATTGACGCCAAATAGATACGGCACTTTGCTAGGGACAGAATTCTTTCAAGTCAGTATAGCTCTTTTATTACTCTGCTTCGCCCCAGACTCTTTCTTCCGTCTCTAACCCATTGTTGGCAGACCTTTATAGGTGGAATCGTTAGCTACAAGGCCCTCTCCCGACCGCAATTCTCCCAGCTCCAGCAGAAGCTATTCCCAGTCTACTTCGGCATCCAAACGTCTCTGCCTGTGGTTCTGGCCTTAACTTACCCCGCCTCGAGACTTGGTCTTGGGACGGCTTCTGGCTTATCTGGTGTACTTGCAAAAGTCAATAGATGGAGTGTGTTGGTCCCAATTGCCACGATCTTCGTGACAAGTTTGGCAAATATGGCTTTCATCGGACCAGCCACGACGAAAGTTATGATCAAGAGAAAGCATCAGGGTAAGCACGTTCTACATTATACAAAACCTGTCAGCGGCTAATACCTCTGTACCCAGAAACTCGGGACGGGAAGAAATACGACGACCCCACCCCTCAGTCGGAAGAAATGCAGAGGCTGAACAAGGCATTCGCTAGCATGCATGGAATCTCATCCCTCTTGAACCTTACTGGCTTCATTGCAACATGCTGGTATGGGGTTTCGATCGCCGCGAGGATCGAATAAACGATGATTAGAGGGGTGGTACTCATTTATACATACATAGCTATAGCTACAAATGGCCTGCTGGTTCCTCAAGCAAGGCTAGCATGAACCATTGATGAAATAAATACCTGCAGGTTCAAGTCGTATTGGTATATTTCAGGCTTTGTTTCTGGAGTTAAAATATATATATATATATATAAAAAACCTGCCTCAGAATCATGAAAGTCTGCACATCTCAGAAGCTTCTTCGACATCAACTCACAATTCTGTAGTCCCTGTATTTTCAATTGTATCTGAACAGTCTTGTACTACTTGGTTTTCTTACAATGTACTTAGAATCTTGCAGTCAGCCTTGCATCCACTGCTTCTTGTGGCTTGCGTCGATCGACGCGATGCTGCTGACGACCTGCCGCACAGAATATCAGTTCGTCACTCAAATATCCAACATCGCCAAGCACTCAAATACGCCCTGGGTCATGCAGAGCCCCGAAGCTATCGAGGAGAATAATGGCTTAGTTTTCTTACAACACAGTTTGTTGCTGGTCGCTTTTGATTGCGAGTTCGTGCTCGCCACAGTGTACTCCGAACGGGAGAGGTTGCTGCAGGAGATTTTGTGTGGAACGTGGAACCTAGCAGATGTCGTGACTATCAAGACTATGGATGGGCCCAGATCCGGAGAATATGGGACGCATGTGCCTGTTACTATTGATGAGGGGATAGCTCTGTGTCCTGGAAGGCTAGAAATACCAGCTTTCGAGGAACGATCGCGGGAGAGTAAGACCAGTAAGGTTGTAACGAGCTCGCCGCTTGCCAGTCAAAACTAGTCTGATGGTATCTTTCAAGTCAAGCACTTACAAATAATACTCGAAATTATGTCTGATCGATGATAGACTAGGAACACCCAATGTATCGGGCACGAGAGTGCCGTAAAGCGTCAACCAGTTCCTTTTTGAGCCCATAGCCCTATCTCTGACTGCAATGCACGCTAGAGACGAACTGTCCAGGCGAAATCTATAATAGTGGGCCTTGACGTCGCAACTTTTGGGGCCCTTCCCTAAAGTGGGCGAAAAAATTATGTCCCGCTTCAACTGTGACGACCTTAAGCGATTACCTGAAGGAACTCACGGGAGCGCGGGGTTTATATAAGAGCTTAAGAGAATCTTAAAGTAATAACTTAAAATCAACAACTACCGAATGTAAAGGTCGAAAGTAGCTAAGGTCTATATATACGAAAGTAGAAGCGCTAAAGACTCGTGAATTATAGTTCATAAGTCAAAAGCGAGGAATAAGAGAATACGAAGAATACGAAGGAAAAAAGAAAGGAAGTAGCTTAGCGCATGTAAAGTGCGTTTAAAAGACCTAGCGTGTCGTCACACTACTTTTCCGTCCGAAAAAAGCTCGTCTTCGAGCGTCTATTTATTACTTTATTATTGCTTAAGTGATCGTAGTTATCAATACCGTTCGAATAAGCTTTGATCTATTCGAAGAGCTTCGCGGGAAGGCCGAAAAGCTTTTTATGTTTTAAGTAGAAGTTACGTACTTTGAAAAGAGCGTATATAAAGTCGAAAGCGAAGTATTAAGTAAAATTAATATCGCGGCCGAGCTAAGAAGCGCGGTACTTAAAGTGCTTTTTAATTTAGCGTACGGCTAAGATATTCTTTACTTCGTACTCAAGTTCGCTAGTGATATTAATCGGGTCAAGTTTAAAAATGATTTGCTTAAAAGTAAAGTTATTAAGAGCTTTTCGTAATCGTTCGAAGTAGAAAATTAAGTGAACTTTTATTAACTCGAGAAGCTTAAGTTTAAAGCTGTTATAAACGTTATCGATAACTTCGAACGGTCTGTTCGTCGAGTTATCAAGCTTTTTTAACGGTCGAGAAGTAAAGAACGAGCGTATATTTAATTAAATCTTATTATTAACGTCGAAGTTAACCGAGCGCTTTAATTTATTAGCTTGTTTAGCTATGCGGTCTTAAGCGCGCTAAAAGTGCTTTTTAGCGAGGTTTTAAGCTTCGAAGTAACGGTTAGCGTAAGCGCGAGCTTCGTTTTAATTAAGCTTGCGAGAAAAGGTTTAGTCGTTAAGTCGTTTCAAGCTTTAATTTTAAATAGTCTTGTCGGTATATCCATATCGACCTTAGCTAGCTAGTAGTAGTAGTAGTAGTGGTTGGGGAAGCTCACCCGTGAACCATGGTTCACGGGCCACTTGGCATGCCTCGCTTAGCATGTTAGCAGTCAAGGGACCCCCAACTTGACAAGTAGACCTATTAGTTAGCTAGTGCACGTGATTCCTTCTAGTCCTATAAAAAGAATCAGCTCCCTTGAATCTTAAAGAGCAGATAGAATTCAAATACTTTATCAACCGAGTGTTTTGCAATTGCAAGTACTTTGACGACCGTTACGACCTTACGAATATATATTCTCAATCGCTTGGAAGCAATCTAACATTGATCAGTGATTGAATTATTATTAAGTGATCAATCACAAAGAAGCTAGGACTCTATAGCGAGGATACCTTTTACTACGATAATTCTTTCTTTCTACAACGGAAAAGCGATTCCGTACCAAGTCGCTTTCTTATACCCCGATACCTTTCCTTTACAACAGAAGGGCGATTCCGTACCAAGTCGCTTCTTATACTACCGATTCTCCCTTATTCCTACGGAAGAGTGATTCCGAACCAAGTCACTTTTATATAATTTTCAAAGCTGTAGAGCCGCGCTTGCTACACACAGCAAACCCAACCAACACGATCGATCTACGTACGAGCAGACAACTACTATGGCCGATCAAGCAACTGGACCTTCAGGTAGGAAGTCTAGCCGACAAGGAGCAGTAGGGTATTATACCCTTCGAGTCTCATCACCACTTACGAAACCCTTAGCTATTCAGCCAAAAGGACTATTATACTTAAGACTCTTAAGCCTCTCGGAAGGACTAGACGATGAGATATCGGGCATCTCATTTGACTTAAACGAGCTACTATACGCAAGGCCCGATAGTGAGATTACGGCTCGAGCAATAGTGAAGGACTTCTTAGATACGAAGTGTAGAGGGCTGAGAGATTACGACTTATAGAGCTTATTCCGGTACGCTTTCTCACGCTAAGATTGGACTAGTTTTACAATGACGAGGGACAATACGAGACGAGGCTTTAAGTTTGCTACTTTTATTAGCCTTAAGGAACACTTGCTGTCTAAAGGCGTGTGGTGCCCCTTAAAGCAAAAGGGCTACGCTAATAAGATAGTTAAGCTCTTGAACGACGAGCAGCAACACTAATGAACTTTTTAAGAAATAAAAAAGCAATAAGCAGCACTTTTAAGCCTCGATTTAAAGTGGACTATCGAAAACCTTACGGACGACGAGGATAATACGCCTTAACTACCTCCACCACCCTTATAAAGTCTAAAAAGGAAGGAAAAGGAGGTATTAAAAAAGGAAAGGGAGGAGATTCGGAGGTTACGCGAGGAATTTGCGAAAGAGAAAAAGAATATAAAGCAAAATATAAAGGTGATAGCAAAGCAAATAGCGGAATTACGGACTTACGCTATACAATCTAACGAAAGGCTACGACGAAGCACTTTAGCGTACTCGACGCTCTTAATTTAGCAATCGCTACGCAATACGCTAATCATACAAAAGCCAAAATCACTTTAGCGGCTCTTAAACCTTTTTCTTAAGAGCTATAACCGGGTTTCTTAAAATCTAAAGCCGAATAATAATAACAACGGCCTCGAAAACATAATCGGGCTTGATAATACGCAAGGCAATAGCAGCTACACGCTAAAAAAGGACTTGCTAAAACCTAAGAGCATTTAAGACAAAATCAGCTCTTACTAAAGATAGCGTGCAGATTTCCGTGCTCAACTTTAACAACTCGAGAAAGGGATCTAGCACTTTCGGACGTACCGACAAGCTCTTTAGATCTATCAATAGGTTACGTTTCGATAAGAGAGATATTAAAGGTATAAAAATCGCTAAGAACGTGCTTAAAGGTACGGATATCATTAAGCCGGAGCTTTAGCCGGTGACTCGAATAGCTTTAGCGATCTTGACGATGACCGACGAGAAAGGAACGGAAGAGATTAGCAGAAAGATCGAGGCTACGGGTATAAAGAAGGTAAGAACGGCCTTTTTAGATCATAAAAAAGATTCGGAAACGGACTTTTAAAGGACTTCGGATTCGGAAATGAGCTTTTTAAAGACCTTAAAAAAGGACGGACTACCGGCAACTATATCGGTAATCCTTTATCGATTAGACTATTAGCTAAGCAAAGCATACTTGCGTATAGCACTTTAAGCGCTTTTGATAATAACGGTAACGATTTCCTTAAGCTAAGAGCAGCAGACCTTTATCTAAAAGCAAAAGAGTTGGTTTTGTTTGCAAGAAGCTTTCTTAAAGAACTAAAGTATTCGAGACTCGACGATGATTTCAAGACTTAATTAAGTATTTTTGCTAATTAAGCAAGCCGATACGAGTTGACTTCCGACGATTATTTAGCGGCGTTTTTTATTATGCTTACGAAGGAAGCGATTACCTTTTATTATAATTACGTAATCAAAGCTCGGCTTCTTACGTTTAAAGCGAACGCTATTGCAGTGAAAGACCACTTCGAGATTGACTATCGGCGGTAAGTAAAATACGACCGTTAAAAGGAAATTTCGCTAGATTTGGTCAAGAAGGAGAATCTAAGGACCTCGCTTAGCGAGTGCTTTAAGAAGCTCGTTAAGGAGCTCAAAGGCATTCAAGGCTCTTTACGACCAAGTTTAAAAGATAATCGGAGCCTTGCTAACAAGCTGTATTTAGCTTATAAAAACGTGCTAGAGACTACGATTGTACGAATGAACCTTGCTTTTACTTTTATTGCGGCAGTTGCTGACATCCGTCGAGCAATTGCCTTTGCAATTGAGACCTCTCGACCTTCCGCTAAAGCGAGTAAAGCTTACACGAGCTTTAGCGAGCTACACGATCACACTTGCTCTCAGCACGCTTTAAAGGCTGACTCCGATTTGGACGAAGAATACGAATGCTTTATTTAAGATCGCTAATACTTCGGAGGTAAGAAAGCTGCCAAGGCTATTATTAAGGGTGAGAAAAGGTGTTTTGTTTGCAAAAAGCCAGGTTGCTAAAGCACCAACCATACCCTTAACGAGAAAAAGGCATCCGTCGCTAAGTTCCAGGCCTTTAAGGACGCAAAAAAAGTGACGAAAAGCAAATTCTCTTAATACGTAGTATCGATTGAAGGCTTGCTACTTGTATCTACGGAAGAATTCGATCAGTTCATCGCAAGCCTATTAAACGAGCCGCCCGAATCGAGCAGCTACGCTAATATATCGGAAGGTTTTATGACTACCTACGGCACTTTTAACGCTGACGAAGTATATAAGCAGCTGGAGATTCAAACGGCATTTCACGCCCTTACCAGCTAAGTAGAGACTTAAAAGATGCCCGGGCAAGATCCGCGTGTGCCCACGAGCAAGGCAGAGACTTATATAGCCTTTAAGTACTTTGAAAACGTGTTTATAAGCTTTATAATTGACAGCGGAGCAGCCAATTTCTTTACCGCTAGCTTGCTTTAGTTAAAAGCACTTTAAAAGAAGTACTTCGAAGTCTAATTAAATACATCTCGAGCAAGAAAGAAGTCCGTTAAGTACGGGATCGGCTCTACCACTTTTATTAAAGCAGTTACTTTAGATACTTTCTTAGGTTAAGTAGAGTTCTACGTTATAAAGAGCGACGTACCTTTTTTATTCTCGTTAGTTAATATAAATAAATATAAAGTGATCTTAAATAACTTGCGGAACGTGCTAGTCTAAAGGAAGAAGGAAATACTAGTAGTAAAGATGTTTAGATACGTGTAGATGCTATTAAGTAAAGAGCACGTTGCTACTTATTATAGCACCGAGGGCGAGACCGTCTACTGTTACTTTACGGAAAAGCAATTGAGGACCATCTATAAGCGTTTTAACTACTTTTTAGCAAGTCGATTTGCTGTTATTCTTAAAAAGGCCGAGCACGAATTCAAACGAGATTTGCTTTATAATATCCAAAAGTTTTGCTACTACTGCTAAGTATTCGAACGCTCTTCGAAGAGGTTTAGTATTAAACTTAAAGATAATACTAACTTTAATAACACGGTATACGTCGATATAATGCACTTTAACGGCAAGAACGTATTGCACGTCGTTTGCGACTTTATTAATTTTCAAGCCGCCACCTTTTTTAAAAGCATGTCCGTACAGCACTTACTTAAGAGATTCAATCGATGCTAAGTCAATACTTACGTCGGGCCTTTTATAAACGTAATGCACGATCTCGGAACTAATTTTAATTCGGCAACGTTCCGGAGCTACTTTAAAGGTATTAGCAGCACTTTAAAGCAAATGCTTATAGAAGCCTATTATAACGTCGAGCTAATGGAACGCTATTACGTTCTTGTACGACGCGCTTTTAAGATCGTCATAAAAGAGCTTTTAAAGGCCTTAAAAGAGGACCGGCTTCAAATAGCTATTAAAGCTATCAACGACATAGCTAGACTTAATAGCTTAGTTCTTACACTTTTCGTTTTTAAGACTTTATTAAAGCTAACGGAACAAGATCGACTTACCGCGTTTACCCAAAAACGTGCTGCTGCTATTAGCAAGGCTATAAAAGAAGTACGAAAATGCTACGCAGCGAAGCAAGTTAAAGACGCGCTCAAAAAGAAGAATAAACTAATTACGAAGCATACCTTAGACCTTTTTATTAATTCACGAGTACTCGTATAGCGGGAAAACTAAAGGTAGAAAGGCCTTTTTCAGCTGCTTAGCAAGCAAGGGCATACGTGCACAATAGCATGTCCGAGACTTACGGAATTCAAGTCGACCTTAGTAAAACCTTATTATTTTAAAGTTGAAAAGCTATTAAAAGAGTTGCAAGTACTTAAGGTAGAAGCGGAAGAAGAAAAGGATAGAAACGAAAGCGAAAAAGAGCTAGAATTGCGAAAGTCGCTTAAATTTTAACATTCGCTTAATCTACTAAGGTCGCTAAGATTAGTAAACAGCCTTTTTAACTTTTAACTTATTAATTCTTAAAGATCAATAATACCAAGGGTCTAGATACTTTACTAAAAGTACGATCTTAGTATTTCGACCGTGCTCGACGAAAAAGAAGGCGATTCTTACGTTTTATTTATTAAGGACTCCGAAGTGTTAGTTACCGACAAAGAACGCCGGGACTATAAGCTCTTAATTAAGCTACGAGCCGAAGGAATCATTAAAAGCCTTAAAGCACTATTTTAAGAGTCTAAAGTAAAGGAATTAGCTAGATTAATAGCTTAAAGCATCTTTTAAGTGATTTCGAGCACCGACTTACGCGCTAAAAGCGTTAAGATCTTCGGATCTAAGTTTGTTAATAAGATCAAAAGCAAAGGAACACTTACGCTATACGAAAAGTCTCGTATAGTAGTCCAAGCCTTTCAAGACAAAGGCAAGACGAAAGTACTCACCGAATCACTTACGGTACAGCGAACGGGCCAAAGACTCTATTGTGCTCTAGCTCTTTTTTTAATAAAAGACTACGGGTGTTAAGTCTATAGCAAGGATATCACTTAAGCTTATACTTAGTTAAGCACGAAGCTTATTCGAATAATCGTCGTGCGACTACTTAAAGAGATCACTTATCGATTCTTTTCTAGCACTTTGTTCCTTATGACTAGCCTTTTATACGGCATCCTTAAAGTAAAGACGCATTAATATAAGCGTTTTTCCGAGCATTTTATAAACAACTTCGGCATACGGCAATCGAGCTTTGATTTTTACTTCTTTGTGTCAATTAATAAAGATCAGTTAAGAATAGCTGCTTTACAAACGGACGATGTTCTTATAGTTGTTAATCGAGCTATAAAAGCAAAAAAAGAGAAAGAACTAGTGAAATCCAAGCTAAAGAGCAAAGAAATAGAGATTTTTATACACGCCGAACCGATGATTTTCAATAGGTGCAAGCTATTCTTAAATAAAAACGAGTTCGGAGTGTTAATTGATCAGAAAGAGCAAGGTGAAAGGCTTATAATAATCAAGCTCGATTCAGCTATACGAGTTAAGGAGTACTTAAAGCAACGTGCTCGAAGAGCGTATTTAACTATTATTTGCTACTTAAAAGCATCTTGTGCTCTATCGATAGCTGCTTAACATCAAGAACCGAAAGACGAGGACTACAAAGCCTTTAATAAAGTGATCTAATAGCTGATCGATCACTTAATACGAAAGATCTATTACGTGCTCTTAGACTTGACAACTGCGAAGCTCTTTGTGTTCGTAAATAAAGCGTTTGTTAATAACGCTAACCTTAGCTCTTAAATCGGTTTCGTAGCTATCTTTAATAATAAAGCTTACGTAAGTGAAAACGAGTTCATTCTGACGGGTAATATCTTTTATTAAGTGTCATAGAAGTGCAAAAGAGTGACAAGAGCAGTATTAGCTTTTGAGCTATACGCTATGTCTTTAGGTATCGATATAGCCATTATTATGTCGACTACTTTTGCTTAGATTATAGCTTAGCTAAAGATACTTAATTTCCTCGTAATTATGTGCACTGATTCTTATTCGCTTTACGAGTGCATAATAAAGCTGAGAACTATTAAAGAGAAGCGCTTTATGATCGATATTATAGCTATTCAAGAGTCATACGAAAAGCGAGAGCTCTTTAAGGTACGCTAGATCGGAAGAAAATCTAACCTTGCTAACGCTATAATTAAAGTCGGGGCTAATACCTTTTTGCAAGAGCTAGTTTTGACCAATACTTTGAAGGTGCAAGTAGACGGGTAAGTAAAAAGGCCGTTGTAAAAGAAAGAAAGATAAGATTGTTTTTCTTTTATTTAATTACCTTCTTTCTTTTTTCGGTCGATATAGTAGTTAGCAAAGCACTGCTTGCTAAAGAGAGAGTTGCCGGTGTCGGTATATTTATATCGACTTTAACTAGCTAGTAGTAGTAGTAATAGTGGTTAAGGAAGCTCACCCGTGAACTATAATTCACGGGCCACTTAGCATGCTTCGCTTAGCATGTTAGCAATCAAAAGACCCTCAACTTAACAAGTAGACTTATTAGTTAGTTAATGCACGTGATTCCTTCTAGTCTTATAAAAGGAATCAGCTCCCTTGAATCTTAGGAAGCAGACAGAATTCAGATACCTTATCAACCGAGTGTTTTGCAATTGCAAGTACTTTGACGACCGTTACGACCTTACGAATATATATTCCCAATCGCTTGGAAGCAATCCAACAAGTCCGAAAAGCGTAGCCGTGAATTACTTTAAAAGAAGAAAAATCGCCGAAAGAGTCGTAAAAGAACGTCAACTAAGCGAAGTCTATTATAAGAAAGAACTCATTTTAATCGTTTTAATAATAGCTTACGAAAAGACGGAAGCGCTTTTATAAGTATTAGTTATAGATTTCGGTTTGACCGTTAGTTTTAAAGTGTACGGCGGTGCTGAAAGTCAATTTAATACCGAAGATCTTATTGAATTCTTTTTAGAATTCGGACTAGTATTAAGGTCCTTTATTAGAAGTCAGTGTTAAAAGAGCTTTAAAATACTTATAAATATAATAAATATAAAGCTTAGCGAAGCCTTTAACGTCGATAGACTTATAATAAAAGATCGAGATTGCTTGCTTAAAAAAACGGTCGATTATTATAAAAACGTTATCGTAGCTGTGTTTGTCTTTATTAAAGCTATAAAAGTCTATAGTAACGTGCTTTTAAAAGCGCGAAAAGATCGAGAAAAGTTAAAGCAAACTAAGTTTTTTATCGCGAAGCATTAAAGCTCGTTTGTAAGCGTAGTAGTTGCGGCAGTATTAGTTGACGAATCTGATTATACCGTGCTAGTAGTATTGTATTGCAAAAAGCTTGTAAGTTTTGCGAGAGTTAAAGTATATCGTAAATACTTAATCGTAGACTTTTCGAACGAATAACGAGCGCAAGTTTTAAACGTCGAAAACTAATAAGCGGCTATTATAAAATAGCAAGTCGCTTTTTATAATAAGTTTGACTCGTAAATCGTAAT